CTCCAAGGGACTCCTTCTCTGCCACCCTCTAAAATCTTTGTAAGAACATTTCTTCTTTTGTTTTAGGGAAGAAGGCACTGGCTAATTCATGAGATCACACTGACCAAGTTGTTTACTGCTGATGTTTCTGAATAAACCCATTTTGCTGGTGAAATAACTGGTTGCTTATTTGTTTGAGTCAACATTATCCTAAAAATATTTCATATGTGTGTGCTTTATAGCTCCAATTTCATAACGTACATCTTAAATGTCAAAAACACATCTTCTACTTTTTAATCATTTCCCAAAAATACTCTATCTACCAAAGTACCTGAAGCTGCAATACACATTACAAAACCACTAAAATAATCATTGCTATTTTACTGTTATAACACACACAAACTAGCAATTTGATATATTGAAACAACCAAAAAAGGTAAAACAAAATGAAACCACACAAGTGCAACAATAATACATGTTATGTAGACAAAGGTGTATGCAGTTGTAAACGAATCTAAATTTGCTGAATAAAATACTTAAAATACAATTTACACATCAAAAGCTACAAGATACTGTGACACAAACACACTATCAAAACCACATGGCATTATGGTAGAAAAAAATTTGTTCTAAATGGTGAATTACTATAGTTTTCCCTAGTTTTAAGCATTGTTTCATATTTTACTGGAGTCTAGAGAAAAGTAAAGCATCTACTGCTTGGTTTTTGCAAGACCTGATTAGCACTATACCAAATTTTACACACACAAAAATCTTCTTCGAAAGTCTGATATGTAATTTATAAAAATTTACACATAAAATATATGTATGCACATGAGGATTGATTTCTATCTGTTTCGATGCACTCTGGAGAAGTCATTATTTATACGCATCCTAGAGATAATCCTTTTAAAAGCAATCCTTAAGAATAAGCCATTTCTGTGTTTTACAAATACAAATTTTCATACACTGGATTTTCTTAGAGGAACTATATCCAAAAAGATCATTATTTACTATTATAAATTATGATCAAAATGGGGGGAGGGCTTTTTTCTTAATCCCCAAGCTTTAAAAAATAACTCCATGCCTAAACCATTATTTTTTCATATAAAAGTATGTCCTTATAAGTTCCATAGTATTCAGTAACCTGTATTACTTGGGAATTTTTAGCTAGGAAGATACCAGGAAAACAAATGACTATTTTATACCTTTATCTTCATTTCAGCCCTGCTATATTCACACCCTAGAGGTTCCAGATTCTTATCCACAAAGTGATTACGGTCTAGGACTGAATCAGATTTGTAACATATGTCCACTGGGATCTTTCGACCTATCATCGACGGACAGAGCCGATATATGTCTTCTAGCTCACTGAATCCTTTCACCTTACCTCAGGGACTTTCCACAATGCTATATGCTTAGCAAATGACGAAAATGAATGAAAAATGATTTCAGAATAGAAAAATGGAAACTCAAGTCATTACATAGTCTCTAAAGGCTACCCTGTATCTACCACCTTAGTGCCCAAACATACATTCTATCATGTGTACAATAAGGGAGATCCTTCTTTAAGGTATTGACTTTCATTATCTCTAATTTTATCTGGTTACTGACACATACCACTTATATTAACACTTCAATACATCCAGCCATGCAATAACATGAAACTTTTAACAGTGATCTGCAATAGTCTAGAAACATTATGAATTTTTTGAAATTTTTCCAGAAAAAAGAAACAGTTCAAAGCTAATAAAATGAAATTTCTAATAAGTATGATTTTTATGAATATTACCATATCAAAATGAAATTAAGTCACATAATCACACATAAATAAAATACAGACTACGTTTTCTTAGAAGGTAATGTAGCATATTATTTTTTTTCTATTTTGCTATTGTCTTAAAATGTATTTTCACTAAAAAAAGCACAAGTAAGAAGTGTTTCTAAAAAGAGAAGAAAAAATCACAGTACACTATTTTTATGCTATAAGCTATACAAAAATCTGTCACCAAATATGTTACAATTCTAGCCATCAATAAGATACTTTTTTTTAATGCACCACTCAAAAATCAATTATATCAACTCTTTTGTATAGAGAAGCAGCACACCTTTCAGGGAACTAGTATTAATGAGTAGACATGACTATAGAATCTCCATCTGTTTCCCTGACAAAGCTGTGGCTACTCTAGTCTCTCATTGAAATTCCATTAATCTGGTGTACCAAGGTCCAATGCGAAAATCAAAACTCCATCTAACCCTTTATCAGCTCACAATAACCTACAAGTGAACTCTGCCTGTTAGCATGCAGCAAGTTATGATTTTGCTATCAATCAGGCAGTTGGCCAATAAAAAAAAAAAAAGGCAGGCTGGAAACAGCATGTCTGGCAGGGTTTGGAGACTTAGTTTTTGTTTTCTGTTTTCATCCCCTTTTAATTTCTATAGGGTGCCTGGACCTTGTGAGATTATGCATTATTCTCCTTGGCTGTGATTTAATTGCTACCAGCAATCAAGTCGAAGCATCACTGAAGTGTGCTTGAATTTCATTAGAAGATATAACTTATGCTACTTTCCTACAGTACCTAATAAACCATAAAGAAACCAAAACACATATGGCTTGAGGGAATAACTGGAAAATTAGGTAGCCATTTGGGAACTGAGTGAACTTTTGAACCAGAGGAACAGAGAAAAAGAAATATTAAAGGAAAAGACAGACTTAGAATGCACACAGAGATGTGCAGGTTTGACCTCTTCAGTACCTTGAAAATTACATTAGCATTATGAAAAATACATATCATGGTTTAGAGCTTATAATCCATCAAAGTTCAGATATTTTGTTAGTGCCTACCATAAGGTAAAAGTCAAAAGGACAAAACAACAATCCGATTTGACAAAGGGCCTTTCGGTGACCTGTACTAATTTAGTTATACTGATTGTTAAATGCATTATCTTTTTATAATTAATATATCATTAGACTAAGGTCACATATTAAAGGGAAATTAACTCAGCAAAGGAAAGAGAACGTATACAATCTAAGGTACAGGGAGAAAAACCAGTGTGACTAAATGACGTTTTACACTGGAAATTTTAACTTCAAAAGGTAGTTTTACAATTAATTTATAATATTCTTAAAAGAAAATATAAAACTATCAACATGGTATTATTTGTTCATAAGAAATCAATAATACTAAAAGTTAAGAACTGCTTATATATGCAGTAATGAAAATGCACCAATATTTAACAAAAATTTAATGTCATACATAAATAAGTTATTAAATAATCAAATTTTGATAAAGTCATTTTAACAATAACAAATTTTTTCATGCTATTACTGTATTTCCTATCTATTTGGTTATGAAAACAAACATGATTAATTGTTTGCTCATAAGAAACACAATAATCATGTAAATGCATTATAATTTAATAACAATTCACTTTTTGAACAAATCACCGGTTCTCATAGATATCTATTGGTTTAATTATTTAGGTTGCAATTTTTTTAAGAATGCTCCTATGTACATCAAAATATTTATGTCACTTTGAGAAACTCTTAGTGTTATTCAATAAATATATACCATATGTGTACATGTATATGTATATGCAAATATATATAGTCTCTTGAGCATACAAATCTGTATATTTAGACATACACACATAATTATTCCTACCTACAAACATTTCACATAGAAACAAAACAAATCATTAAGTGTCTGAAAAATAATTAAACTCAAATGATCATTATTTCACCTGAAAACATTATTTTATCCATTATAAAACATTTTCTAGAAGAAATGCTTTTGAAGATCAGGTTAGAAAAGGTAACACTCGTTTCACATAAATCAAAACTAAAGAGAAATGTGCTCTGTTTTTAAAAAATAGGGAAAGCGTATAAGAGAAAAAATCCTTTATATTAAAAATAGAAATTAAATGTTTGACAAAATATAAAATTCAATGTAAATGGATATGATTATTATTGCTACACATTGTACAAAGCTCTGAATATAAAAAAAGACTGTGTTGTTCTGAATCAGTGGTTAGAATGTTTATCACTTATGCATGTACTTGACTTATCCCTGTTCTGCAATAGACATAATTTTATACCTCATAAAAGCAATTTATGTTTCCAAAGGGAATAATCTGGATAACATAAAATGTGGAGTGCTCTGTTGCAGGAAGCATATTTTCATTCAGCAATTGTATTTAGAGATGGAACTGCAGAGTTTGATCATCATATAGTGGCAGAAGCCATTATTCATTTCTATGTCTATGTGAAACTTTGAGTGCCACAAATTAATATGCATGGTTAATTTATTGATATACATTCTTAATTTATAACTATATTTCACCCTCATAAGGTCTCTATAATGCAGATGCACTCAACTGACTCTAAGAGAAAATACATGCAATATGAAAAATAAGTTTCAAACTTTAGCAAGTTTTTAAATATAACTGAGAGACATATAGTCAACTTTATTACTAATTCAATTAATACAAAACACTGTAATGTTACTTCATAATGTGGGGCATTTTTAGGTGACAATCAGAAAAATGAAAATGTGTAATAAAAGAAGAAGTATTTGATGAAACCCTCAATGTGGAAAGACAATGTAGGAATTATTAATTTAATATTTTATGAACGCATTTTGTATGAAGTTTTTAGGAAAAAAGATATCAAAAACCTTGTTCATTATTTATAAAATAAATAATACAACAAGTCATTAGCAGCACAATAAAATTAAGCAAGAATCTGATAATAGCAAATTAACCAACAAACTTACTAATACTATTCATACAATGATGCATCCACTCTCCTAAAAATTTTAGTAAAGAAAATTTCCTAGGAAAAGATGGAACTACATACTTAGGAAAACCACTAGAGAGAGCTCTTCTGTTCCTTAAAAGGTTCTGGGAAAGGTAAGTTAACTGAAGCCTCCACATTTATCTGCTTTCTGACAAGACCTCTACATATTGCATTGTTTTGTGTTAAAGTGTCAAGAGGTTCTAGTCTATGGGAAAATGTCACATACCATCAGAGGCGGCTTCATCATCTTTATCATATCTTTCTGAGGCTAATGAAATAGTGTCTGGAGGCCCAGCAGAAGGATCCTCATATTCTTCACCATCTTCTGCATCACCTATAAAAGAGTCAGAGAAAAGCCTTTTGTAATATATACATTTTTTAAAATGTCACTTTTGTAAAAATAAGTAATTTTACTATTTATTCCAGTCACGTCATGGAAAAAACAGAAAAATTTTTGAAGTGGTAAAAACAGGTCTTATTTTAATGTATATTCATTTAATGAATACCCAAAAGTAAGAGTTTTTAAGGATCAGTGTATTTCTTGTACAAATGGCTACAAATTCCAAAGTTATGATGGTATCTACAAAGATGAATACAAAACAGTAGAAGCATGGTTAAAGAAAGTACATGTCTAAGACAAACAAACTCAGCATAATAAAGAAAAAAAGGAAAGCACAACAAAGAAAATGATACAAGATAATGCCATTTACCTACTCAATAATACGAAAAATTGTGATGATATCATATGTAATTCAAAGTCATATGAACATTTTATATTCTCATTAAAAATCATAGGATTACATTAGAGTAGAAGAAAAATACTCAGCTGAATTTTCAAAAGCAGGGATTCATTATGGGAAAAAACTGCTTTAAACTCATAAAAATCTTTTTCATTGAAACAAGGTGATTTACAAACTAGATACTTTCAATTTTCAATCAATAATGTTACCTTTTTTTTTTAATATTCTAGCCAGCATTTCCAAATCCTATGCTGGTTGCTTGCTTGATCTGAAGTCATTTAATCCTCACAATAAAATTTTGTGGGTTTTGGACTTTTTCCATTTATTCATTTGAATTTAAAGTGTATCAAATATTTGCTATTCTGATTATAGATAAGCACCCATTTTTCACCCAGGTGTGACAAGGGAAAATGTGGGCTTAATACTGTATCAATTTTCTAACTGGAATTTAATTCCGGTTACCTGTTAACAATTCAAAAGAAAATCAACCACCTCAGGCGCTGCCCAAAAATCATGATGAAAATCCCCACAGAAGCCCTAAAATACCTATAGTATTACTTTTAGGCTATAATTCCTGAGTAGATCCAGATTAAAACTAATAATGTCTCCAAAAGGATATCTGTATCTCCTGACATTATTTGATGGGCAGCGCCCTATTTTTTTTCCACCATATTTTTTAATAGAGGAAATAACCTGTTTCAAGACAGTTCTGTCAGTATAATTAAAAATGTCAATGTTCATCTCTATTTCCTATAATTCTGCTATTTCATCAGCATTGGTTGTGCTTAGCCTGAAATATAAGACAGTGACATCTCCCATTAGAACAATAAAAACAGAAAAGAGATAACTATCTTGTTATCCTTAGTGATTCTACCACTAAGTGCACAATCTAAAGTGATGTTCTCCTCCCCTAAAATTCCAAGGAATACAAACAAATACTACTTCTTATTTCTCTTTCTTGCAAGATGTTCAAGATACTTTTCCGAACATTCAGTGATTCCTTTATGGAAAGAAGAGAGCTCTGATTTCAAGTATGAGGTAAGAGAGAGCCTAAAAAAGTGCTAGTAAAATAATGTTTCACTATGGACAGTTCATAGACTACATAATAGTAAAGATCAAAAACTCTCAATTGCTTTTAGTTGCTAGTTGCTAGATACTCAGACTTAAATCTATTAAACTCTGTAGATAAAGAAAAAAATTTAACTTTTGAAAATAAGAATTAGTTTATTGTCCTTTGATAATACCCATTATATATTTTGTGTCTATCCTTGTATACACACACACACACACATGCATACATGCACACACCAATCTACACTGACACATACATATATATACAACAAAAGGATAATTTTAAAGCCATAAATTCAGTAATATTAGTAAGAGTTAAGAATATTCTATACAAACTGGTTACTGACATGTCAAAGACCTTTGCGGTTTTTATCTTTAAAGAAAGATGTATTTGGATTATATATTAAAATGAAATTATGGCCTCCCCATTGGCACAGAGGATTGAGCACCGTGCTGTGAAGCTGTCTGCAGCCTCTGTAGCGTGGGTTCCATTCCTGGCCAGCGGGAGAGAAACCCACATGGCCCTGCAGACCTCTCTTGCCTCACCCGCTGCTCCCCTCAGCAGTGTCTTCGATCCGTCTGCCTGTTCTGCTCCCCGCTCTATCTCTGGTGACTTCTCTCACACTCCTGTGCCTCTGACTGTACCCCAGTTCTTGTATAAATAAATAAATCTTAAAAAAAAAAACTATACTCAATTTTCACACTTTAAGAACAGCAGTTCATTTCAAATGTGGGTTTCTTTAAGAAAAATCAGTGTGATATTTATATATATATATACACACACACACACACATATCTGAGGCAAAAATTATTTAAATACTGATACCTCATTTCTTCCCAATTTTTGTTTCCCTTTAACTTAAAAAGTAGGGAATAAGAATCTCTGTGGCCTGTATATAGGACTAGTCTCTTCTAATCTGCATTTAGTTGAAAGGATACATTATTTTTAAAGTGATCTTCTTCATTTTTCTGTTCTTCTGGGGATTATCCATCTCTTTTCACCCTCTCTATTTTTCCTTCAACCCAATAAAATAACTATATGACAAGGGACTTTCATCGAACACAGGGGTCGCTGTTGAGTAGTACAAAGCATTTTTCCTCCCCAGAGGCTGAGTATTTGCAGTTATACCTGCAAAGACTTCAATAAATTAAAAGGAAAATGTTCAACTTGTGTTTATGTAATAGAAAACTGAACTCCAAATCAACAATGGGCATCAGGTAAACGTATCCAATACAATTTACAGACATAATTGAAAGCATTACAGCCTAATCAGACATCTAAGAGAAAAGCACGCTCAAATGAAATGTCTACAGAATCATTAGTTGGCAGCCATTCTATTACAATCACACATAATGTCAGTGGTGCCTTGAGCCTGTGCCAATGACAACAGCATAAATTTTGCATCTCATTTCTGTGGTCATAAAATTAATGATCAGTTTAAAAATACTTCTTTGTAAAAGTTATTGCACAAAGAAAAGACATGAATGTGTCCCTGTTATGTACTCACAAGGATAATTATGGGGTTGTTACTCATTAATACTGTTTCTTGTTTCCCTAGAAAAGCATTTGATTTATCCCACAACTTTCAAAAGTTTAATTAACGATACAAAGTTAACAGTCTAAAAGACAATGAGCCAAGACTTCCCTTCCTATAATTTCAGTGGCAACTTAAATATTACAGCAAAATCAAGGCTTAATTGTACCACAGTAGCATAGTTCTCTGAAAACCATTTTTAAATTTATAACAGTTGGGTTCAAATCACAATTATCCCCTTTCTTATATGGTTTGTCATCAATTAACATTTTCCTAAATGCCTAGAGATGAAGCCCAGCAGCAACTGAACATGATCTCTACCACCACTAAAGGCAATTTAACCAATTTACTGCTCGTTTTGTCAAATACAGTCCTATTTTAAACACAATCAGGTAAACATTAAACTAAATAACATACCTTAAATTTAGATGATAACCATTCCTTCTCTCAGAGAATGAAAAACAAACTTAGAAGATTATTTGAGTGAAAACAAATTATTTTCAAATTCTCTACTCAGTTCAAATATCCAAACTAATTTCTCAAGTAATAATATACAGCTAAATAGAATTGAGCATTTAACTTGCCATTTCTAAGGGAAACTATAGGTTAATACTTAAAACTTTGACTTAGGTCACCACAAACAAGATTCTCTTCATAAATCTTCTATGATAGTAGGGCTAATTTACAGCACACAGATAGTAAAGGAGACTTTAAGGACACCAATTCTCAAGCGAAACCTCTGAAATATACGTCTACTACTATAGGTCCCATAATCTCAATTAATATATTTGTATAAGGCCGAAGGGGTGAAGGAAGCTCCAAGTAATTTGCTCAGATTTCACTGGGGGGATAACTTTCAAGAGGACATATACTGGGCCTCCCTGGTGGCGCAGTGGTTGAGCGCTGGGTTGCCAGGCTGCCCACAGCCTCTGCAGCAGCGGTTTGATCCCGGCAGCTCCCGGGCCACGGGCGCGCAGACCTCTCCTGCCACGCCCGCTGCTCCCCTCAGCAGTGTACTTCGGTCCTTCTGCCTGCTCTGCTCCCTGCTCTGGTGAATTCTCTTGCCCTCCCACACTTCTGACTGTACCCAGTGCTTGTATAAATGAATAAATAAATCTTTAAAAAAATAAAATAAAATAAAAGAGGACATATACTATGCTAGGAAGGGTAAACGAAAGGAAATTAAATGTCATCCAAACTTCTAACTTTTCTCAAGTTATTATGATTCTATTACTATAAGCTAAGATGGATCCCTTTTTACTTATCAGTTTCCTATTTTTAAAAGCAGTTTACTTACAAATGAGACCATCAAAGGAAATTGTTTGCTAAGTAAATCTACACATATTTAACAGTATCACTGGAATCTTAAGGACAAAATCTTTTAAATAAATTATTTTATAATTAGAAGAAAAATATTTTAAATAAGGAAATGAAAACTTTTAAGCTATGGCATCTAAAGGTAATTGAAAGCAATACATATGCATTTTTTAAAGCTGTAAACGCTAGTAAAAAGTTTGAAAAATATTTTCTTGAAATATTTTCTAATGTTATGTGTGTCCTTTTAATAATGCAATTTCCTCAAAATTATTTTAAAACTGAACTGCAAATCAGTATTTAAGTTCTCTTGATAAGTAAAGTTGAATCTGAGAATACACATTAAAATAATATTGCAAAAATATTTCAAGTCAGTTTTATGAGACCTATGGCTTTATGAGAACTATATGAGAGAACACAAATTCTAAAGTCAAAATTCTATTTCAAAATAATTCTGAGCACAATTCAAGTGCATGAAGCCTATATTTTGGAGTACATTTTATAGCACTAGGCAATGTTGCAACTAGGAATAGGAAAATAAGTTAAGATAGTTATTTGGGCACATATAATAGTTGAAGGATATAAGAAGGAATTCTATTCTAAATAAACAGGCAATATTTCAAATTAAATAACATGGATTAGACTAATGAAAATGAGTTCTAGCTGCTTACATTCAAATCTTATGCACAAAGCAAAATTAAGGAATTTGGAAAACCAAATGATAATTTATTCTAATCATATAATTTGTACTTTTCAATGGACAATTTACATTTGAGTATAAGAAGAGATAATATGAGGACCTTCATAATTAAGAAATAAAAAGGTAAGTTTTAAGACAACAGCTTGCTATGGAAATGAATACAAATAGTAAGTATAAAATTCATTTAACGGATGATCTTCAATATCTAGACAGAGTAAATTCAATAGAATAAGTTTCTACAAATACAGACTATTCTCACCAAAAATGGAATCCTTTTAATCTTCTATGATCTGTGACACTTATGTGGTTTAACAATTTATCAGTTGTAATAATTTAAAAAATTGAAATACCTCAGACTGAATATTCTGTATTGCTGTATTGCTAAACTTAAGATGGAGAAGTAATATCTACAGTGTAAGGGGGAAGATGTGGAAGAGAAGGAAGGAAGGATGAGGCATCTGTGTGCAGAGAGAAACTAATGAGAGAAACTAATAACTCACTTATTAGCAATGAATAAGTATGAATTATTTCATTTATTTAAGAACTCTCTACTTAGTCCTTTTTTCTCCCAACAATGATTCTAAACTGGCACTTAACTATCATGTTTAAATAGTGTAAAACAAATAGGAATTTAAAGGCAAAAAGGAGGGAAAAAGCCTCTGTTCACTTCACTGTGACCCCACATTGAGAGAAAGAGAGACAGAGACAGAGAGAGAGAATGCAAATAGGAAAACAGCTAAAAGGAATTCTGCCCAGGTCTCCTTGCATGAAGGTAATTCAAAACCACAAGGGGAAAATTTAAACAAAAAAGAAAAAGCAACACTATGAAAACAAACTTACATGAATTGAATTTACAAATTTCCATTTTTACAAAAAGATATATCATAAATAATTACTTTGTAACGATTAAGTCTGATTAACTTCCCTTTACTATTTCTAACAAACTGTCGGAATAATCCTTTTAGAACAAAGCGGAATATGCTTTACGGTTACAGTGGCATAAAATTACTCAGCCTTTCATATTTCTCCAAGGTACACATCTAATTTATCCACAGGCTTACTTTTGAGCAGGCACTCTTGATGATTAGTTAACTCAATACAGCAGTATTGAACTACAAATGACTTATTCAGAGGAAAATTATTATGGGGAATCGCTGAATTCTGTGTTATTTGAACTCTTATTCTAGGCTTATTTTTCAGTTTCTATCAAATACTATATAAACTTCCATGTCTCTTTAGAGACAAAGACTGTATCTCAGTAATGTAATTTTAATATCCACACACCTGAACAAGTCCTAAACCCATGTACCAAAGGGAAAATTCCTAGCCTATTATTGAATCATATACAATTATATAAAGCCTTCATATTATCAAGCTTTCTTCACTTAAAATGTTTTAAAGAACAAATAATTAAATCACAATGAGAGATCAATAAACAATCACCAGAATGTGCCATTTAAGAAGAAAGGCAGAATCTGAGGTCTAATACTGTGCTATAGATATAAAAGTTATCATAATTAAAATGCATAAATTCATTATATCTATATTCAACTACACAAAATGCAACATGATTCAAGCCATAGTTTAGGATTCACTGTAGGCTACAAAGAAATGGGCACTTGAGGGGGAGTTTTATGTTCTCTTTATTTAATAGTATTTAAAAAAATAATGTGGAAAAAATCTCTTTCTCTCCGATCACAATGATCTTGATGATTTAATGTGAAAAGAAACTGTGGTTTCCTTTAGCTGTTTGATTTTAGGTTTGTCTGGTTAAGTACTTCGTTTATTGAAACTGTCATTACTCTCTCACTTATCAGTTGGCAGAGATATAAATTACTCTGTGGTATCTACTAACCCTAGTTAGAAGATACCATACTGTTTCTTCCCCAAACCCACAGTCTAGCTCCACATAGGTTAACTGACCTCATGTTCTGACCCTCATGTCAGCATCCACAGGCTTCAGGTCATGACCTGTGAATTAGCATCATGGAAGTAAGGGCCGTACCCAGTTTCCCTTACAGAACTGGAGACATGAAATAGAACTTCCTACGCCTTTCCTGATTTGGTTTTCAGTGCGCTAGGCAGCTGTCTCTCAAATCTAAGGAAAGACAGTCTGGTTACCAGCACTCTCACCTATTTCCAGAAAACGAAAATTTCTATGGCACGCATTTACTCATATCAAAAAAATCACAAAGTTAATAAAAATGACATCTGCGAAAGATTTCACTCATATTCTCCAACAAAATTTTATACTGTTTTTAAAACAATTAGAAACATTCCCTATGAGCCTCCAGCCACAGGCCCTCCTGCTCCTATCACGACCGGAAAATCATCTCTGCAGCGTTATATGGCATTAGGTTGCATCTCCCCTCTACTTCACTAAATTATACCATGTGTAACTGCAGGTATACACCTTTCTTAACAAATTTCTGCAACAATGTACTCTGAGACACATAAAACTTAAGAAAGTTGTATAGATAGATTTCCCCAGTAAAAGATTGTGCAGAGTAGATTCTGGATGTGCTTTTTAATTTTTTTTTTCTCAGCAGGGGGAGCTAGCACTCTCATCTTGAAAGTATACAACACAGAAATTTAAATTGTGATTCCAACTATCAAATTTCAATATGTTAGATTATCCTATTGAAAATCTCCACAAGGGAAAAAAAAAAACCTCAAGTTGCCAAACTTGAAAATTTACCTTTGTCTTGAAATTCCTGAGAATAGCTGCAAAATAAAGGAAAAACATTGTATTTTAAAAGAGGATTGATTGACAAATCAAAACAATGTTTAACCACAGACAATAATTAAAATTTATTTTAAAATTTCTATAATAAATATTTAAAGAAAAAATATTTTCTATCCTAAAATGACACTGCCAAAAGGCTTATGGATTTATAATAAAAGTTTTATTATATATGACCTAAGTTACAGTAGTAAAATCAGGAGATAGCTTTAATACCAACAACTTATATTACATTTAATCACTTAAACAGTAACAAAAGGATTCTTTTTGTCAGTATCTGAGGTATTTTCCATATTTATATTAAAATTCTCAACCTAGCTATATCTTATCACTTAAACCAAACATATCCTCAGATAATCAAACTGTTAGATTCTGCAAGGACACTTAGAAAAACACATAATCAAGAACCTTACTCCAAAAAGGATATTATGATAAGCATGTCTATCTTAAAAACCCATCATAGAGGAGATAAATTTTGCCCCTTAAAAATACTTTATATCATTAAAATTAGAACATATACTTAATTCTACAATAATTAACTCTATTAAATGTTAATTACAAGGTTGTTTCTAAGTAAGAAATTAATAAAAGGCAAGTAAGTGACTTACATAGACTTTACATCTTTTATCTTCTTAATAAGGGATTCTCTCTTTTCCTTTGCTTTCTTAGATAAATTCTCCCCCTTCAGTATGTCTGCGACAAATGTTTCAACATCTAAACCATGAAATATAAGGAAAAGGATACAAATTACTGGAAAGAATCATTTTTTGTAAAGACAAATAGGGCAATGATTGTTTCTACCCATAAGTGTTAATATCTGTACAATTTGTTATAGTTATTTATCAAACCAAAGCATAACAGTTGAAGTATGTTTCAAATACTAAATTGGACAAATCTGTTCTCCACTTAGCTAATAAAATTTGTATGCTCTACTTATGCTTAGCACAGCAAATGCTATTTGAATGTTTGGCATCATTAAACCAGGAAGAAGCACACAAGTTTTAATAAACTATGGTGCCCCATAAAACAAATTCTCTCATACAAAAGCAAGCACAGAGCTTTTATGCATGTGTTACTATCATTTTATGGTATTCTTTAAGTCCCTGTATGAACAGGTCATTCACAATATTATATCAATATAAGATAATGTCTCTGCAAGAGCCTGTTTTTCCCAGTGTAATTCATTTTCAAATCCAGGCAACACTCAATGCTTTAAAGGAAAAATAAATACTTTTCTGGCCAAGATTCCCAAATAAAACCCTCCTTCTTACCTACCCCACCCATTCTGACCAATCACCCACAAATTAAAAAGATAAGCAGTTGTGTGGTTTTGTGTGATATCGTTTCCTGCCTTAGCATTACCACCTGGAAATATTTCTTTAAAGAAAGAAGTGGCAAAAGTAGATTCATCCACTACTTTAAAATATCGTAACCAAGATACAAGATTTCTACAGCCTCATATAACATTTTCACAAAGCCTCTGTTTAAAAATTTCAGTAAATTTCTAAATTATTCTACTTTCTAGTCGTCTCTAGTAAAAAATTCCCACAAATCCTTACTGGTTTGAATTTTATAACAGCCCAATTCTTATAGTTTCTGAAATACTATACAACTTTAAATTAATTTTCTTTTCAGAATTTCAAACCTCACTCTGAGGTATCTAATATAGAGGCTACCATAAAAATGTCTAAAGTAGGGGTGGCTGTAAGTCATCCATATTTTACATTGAAGAGATGTGTATGCTTTACTTTTTATTTCACTACCTTGTCTCCTAACTCACATTGAAAAAAAGATGGTATCAAAACACACAGTAATAGTACATGTAATTAATTCAGAGCAGTATGATTAATAGTCTTTCAACCGTACTTATAATTAACAATTTAAAACCTAGTATTTGAGATATAACGTTGTAATCGATTTTAAATTCTTGATTACAAAAGTATCTTGAGCCAATGAACAAAGTTGATTAAACTATTATTCTGTACACTCATAATAAAAGTATAAATGTAATTTTTCACTGAAGCAATATGACAAGTGAAAGAATTAAATTTTAATCTTTGAATATTTTTAATAGCGTTCTGATTTGAAGTCCATTAAAAGTATCAAAAAGTCACAGCTTCTCTTTCCTTGAGCAGTCTATATAGACATAATCCACTTTCAGGGCAAATTAGATCCAGACTTCTAAAATGAGTTCAAAATAATGAAACATAAAAAGTGCTTTCCACTCAACTCTTTAAATTTTGTACCCAGAGGAGCAAGCAATCTTCGGACAGTCAGATATTAGGTGAAATGGAAAAAGCCATTGGCTTCTCTTAGATGATTACAATAAATCCACTAAAAAAGTGGAATAAGGGCAGGGAGAAGCACAGCATTTCTGCTGCTGACTCTTTCTTAAAAACGGACTCAATACTTGGGAGAATCACTGGCACAATGAGTGGTGAATAGTCTGCTTAATGTTACTTTCCCTCAGTGTTTGTCTTTAATTCCTTCATCCACGAGTATTTAATTGCCTATTTTACATTTTCATTATACTATCCAGGTTTAAACAAACGGGATCTATTTTCTATCTCCGGAAGCAATAACTGAACGCATTACAGCCAGAGAGTTATTTCTTTAAAAGGTCATTTAGTTCTATAAAAACTCAGAAAACATAAAAAGGTGCCATGTTCTTTATAGTGCTTCCTAACACTTGGAAAAATATTTTTAAAATATTGACCCATATTACCATTTTATGAGAAAATACTTGTAAAAAACGTGAGACTGCTGGAAGAATGTGTTGCTATTTGTTTTAGAGGGGAATTCAGGGATTGAGCAAGAAAAAAAGGTATCTCTAGCCTTTGTAATGTCTTCATTCCTAAACTCCCAGAAAAGGGTTTGGGGCATTTAAAAAGATTTAATAAAAATTAGTGCTTTAAAAGTTATTTCTCAAAGGAGATGGGGAGCGTGTAGGAACTGCCTTGCTGGTTTTCTGTTGTTGTAACAAATAAGAACTTTAAAACGGAAGCGGTTCCTGCAATAACCTTAATTGACCGGTGCTACAAACACGGCTGTTTTTTCAGCTTTTGAATCTGGGTTATTTCTTAAATTGCACGCTGTGCGGCTGATTTTCTAACCAAACGAAACCAGCCGTTGTCAGGTACTGGAACCCCTCTGGACTTGCCAGCGGCCTTCGCCGAGTCCCTGCGCAAAGCACGGACCTTGCTCCCCGGCGCCAAGACAGAGCGCGCTGCAAAGTTCCTGGCTTAACTGAGAGATGCTGCGGCTTCGCCCTCCGAGACATTCCACACAGGACACTCCACAGGCGGGGTGTTAAACCCCAGGGTTCCCGTCCTCGGAGCTGTGAGCAGCAAGCGCGGGGTTTAGGGCAGCGCCCTCGCCAGACAAATGGGGCTGGAGCTGCGCTTTGTAGCCCAGAGCCAGGGTAATATTTCAAAAGCTAGCAATAAAAGTCCTGGGCGAATCAAGCGCTCCTCTGACTGGTTCGAAAAGAGATTTGATGCTTTTTATTGTGCTCTGAATAGCCCCGCAAACGGTAAGCCAGCGCGCATTAGCGCTCTTCTACCTTCCTGGAGGGGTCGTGTCCCTCAGTTAATATGTAGATTTCACTGATTCCAGGCTGCCTGTAATTCGGGGAACAGCCGTAATCCGATTACAAGAAAACGCCAGCCCGCCTTCTCGTTCGCCTCTTGGCCTGGTTAGAATTCCTCTTCCTCAAAGATGAGGAGTTCCCACTCACTGGAGCATTAGCCGCGGGAAAGAGAATCTTGTGGGGTCCACCTGGCCCATGAGCAGAAAGCGCGGTTCGGAGCTGCCCCCAACGCACCAAGTCTAACCCTTGGCCCCGCCGGCAACCAGGTAGCCTGCAGGTCGGCACCGCCGTCATTTAACCCCCAAATAGCCCCATCTCCATCAGTTTCTGCCCCAAAGTCATCACTGAGGGAAAAAGTTATCCCAGCTAATGTGAATGTAGTGGTGATTTTTGCCCCTGTTACACCTTATCTCCAGCCACAAATGTGAAGATCTGGGGGAGAGGGAGACTGAAAAGATCAGATGTGCAATAGTTCTGTAAATAAATGTTAAGGTCTGAACAAACTTAAAAGATGACAGAATATCTTGCCTCCGAAATCCTCAAGCAGCTTAAATTAGAACCCTTTCAACAGCTATCGCAACCCCTAAGCAGCACACCAGCTCACTGAATGGTACTCCAATTTCCCCCTTTTTCTGTACATAAAGACACCCTAGAAACACTGCTGCCTTGTCTTAAGAATTCCAGTGGCTAGAACAGGTACTTAACACACTTGCACACACAAGGCTAATGCTTTCTGCCAATTCCCATGTGGATCACATGGTAAAAGGGTGAAACTTCACAAGGTTAACAGAACAGTTGTTAAATACTTGCAAATGATAAAATAAGCCGTCAGCTTCTTGAAGCTGGGTGCACAGCACAGATTCCTATTCTTGAAGAGAGCCACTTGCCCTCACCATCCTCCACCAGCAAGCAGCCTAGAATATGACTTGCAGCTGGAGGTTGTAAACAAGTGACAAAGGTAACACCTGGTGTCTTCTGCCTCCTCCCCCACCCACTCAATACCTCCTCTCCCACCCACTCAATACCAGCATGCAGAGGGAGAGACACAGAGAGACAGACAGACGGACATATGTTGTGGTCGTCTCAACTGTATAGGAGAGGACGGCAAGATTCCTAATGAATCCACTACCATTTGCTCAGTCCCAGATCAATAAGACAAGTGTAAAACCAATCACAACCTAACCCCAAATGTCTTTGCTACTTAATTCTACATCTTTGTCTATATTATGAACTGGCCAGATTTTATTTTGGATTCACTGAAGAGTCACCAAATCTAATGGGCAAAGGATCCCAGCCTAGAATTTAAGCTGGCATCAGAAAACTTTTCTTCTCTATTAGATTGGTATGGGTCTGACCAAACACCTACTGATAAAAACATAAAAATCAATGAAACATGTAGATCAATGGAGTCAAATGCAGTTGGAAGATGGCTAATTGAAAAGTTATTGATTGCTCTAATCAATGTCTTTCTCTTGATTACCTGGCACTTTTACAGGTTATGAACTCTGGACTTTTTGAACATGGAAGGAGAGATGTGAACAGGCACAAGGAGTTCTCACAGTACTGTGGGTAAAACATATCTGCATGTTACGATCCAACCATCTGATAAAATTCTCAAAATTGGCTTTGGAGGTTAAGTGATTTATTTTGATAGAAAACTGGGCTGTTAACTTATAGGGATGAATATCTTTCACCTCTAAAAGATGACACTTGATAAATAGCACCTTATAATAATCAAAATCTTTTTACCATGCATTTTCAAAGAAGCCATAGTGAATAACACATTAGTCTGAGATTTACACTATATTCACTGTTAGGCAGCATCTATTGTAATGTGTTCAGAATGTGATTGAAAAAGAAATGTAAACTCAGTGGAATGAAAAAGATAGACTTGGCTTTAATTGAAAAAGACAAACTAAGTGAATAATGAGTATATAAAAACTAGCCTATGCCACTTTTATCACCCATATATGACACTTAATCTTAAATTTATGAGAGACAACTGAACTGTGTTTCAAATCACCAGAGGCTTTTCCTACTCTGTAGGAGTTTCTATCTTCTTTCTAGTAATACTTTAGTGCTGATAACATAGAGATAAACCCATTTGGAAAAATTTTATATACTGCTTATTTTTCAGTATATGTGGATTCCTCTTCTAAGAGTAAACCAGTGAAATTTGGATTGAGTAACTATAAAACTTGTGCAATTATTAAGCAACTTACTTATTCATCTGGGATGAAAATACTTTTAATAGAAAGCCATGAGGAAAATAAATAAGCCAAAGATTCCCTCCCAAGAAAAAGTAGGCTATTATATGCTTAAGATAGGCAAACAATTTTCCTAAACATCACACCCTAATTCAACTATATTATTTGACCCACACAAGAAACTAAAAATTTCTGGTCCCTTGATTTATAAACACATATTCATTTTTTAGGGGAGAAAAATCTTAGAGATGCCATAGACTCAGTTCATTATGAGATCAAATGTTCTCAGTATCAACTTTATGCCCACTAGAAAATGGGGCAGGCTTGTCTTTGCTTTATAGGAAAATCCAGGTGCTGAAGTAGGTGACTACTGGTGACTCAGTAGGTGGCACTCTTCCCTTTACAGACTCAGGCAACTCACCAGAAGGAAGTTATGGGACACGAGATACATCATAAATAATTCCCATAGGAAAAATAAAATCAAAATGTTGATCAAATTATACATGAAACTTTTGAAAGGTGGAAATCAAACCACACTATTGTCAGCTTTGAAAAAACTCTGCATTTGCTTCAACTGAATTATACTCTTTACTTAGTGCCCCTAAAGGGATTATCAATTATAATGTGTGATGGTTTAAAAGAAAGTTTTGGAAATCCCCAAAAGGGGAAAATGTAATATTTCTAATCAAGACTGCTCTGTGAACAAAGTTTCCAGGTCACTGTGCAGAAACCATATAGCCATTTTGTATAATGTTGATTTGGTTTGGTTTTGATTTTTCAGAGCACTGACAATCACTATTTTCTTTTAACATTGTTTCATTTTTTTATTTAGTAAAAAGAAAACATCATCCTCTTAGTTTTCCTTTTTAACTGTATTGTCCTAAAACATTAATGAGTGAGAATATCTGATGTAAAACACAAATGCGCTGGTAGTCAAAGGGTGATTAAACAAATGAAGGGGGGCGGGACAACCACTGGATCTAGTTCCTCTCACTTTCTTGCGTGCTTGGAGGAAAAACTCACATTAATCAAGATTATTCTTGCTGTTAGTCCCAGTCAAAATATTTGGATGTGGAAGAAGATTAAATGGACTGGATTTGGGATTATGCTTGATTCTAATTATCCAGGCAAAACCTGTTCTTCCATTGTTATGAAAAAAAAATCAATGATTGACTAGTGCATATGGTTGTTCAAAATTTGCTTTTAACAACAAAATCTGCAAGCCTTTTTCTATTCATGAAACAAAAGCAAAACTCAACACTTTCATAAAAAATATACACTTTCATCTGATTCTAGAGAAATGTAAAAAGCTCACAAACTACACGGCCACTTTTTCGACAGTATCATTAAATGTGAGTTAAGAATGATAGCCTCTATGGGTTTTTGCATTTCTAAAGAATTTTTTTTAAAGGAGAAAGAATGAGACAGCAGGAGGAACAAATATTGAAAGGAAAGCCTAAAACTGCTATAATATGAAAGAAAAAGAAAAATAACAGTGAAAGGAATATATTTGAGCATCTACCCCAAACAGCTGAAATGCCAAATATTTAACACATATGACATATAATGATTTGATAATAGGCACATGGAACACAAAGGGAAAAATCCAAGCAACGTTATTTTAATAGGCGTTATCACTTGACTTTTTATTCTTTTTTTTTTTCTGAGGGAAAAAGATTTTAAAAGCCCAAAGAGTTTAGTTCCTTATCTTTTCTACCTTGGAATTCTAGCATATCACGTTCATTCTAGAGCTCACTTAACTGTTAGCTACAACCACAATGATTAATATTTCTCCTTCAGTTTCAGAGTATGAGTTAAGCTACCAATAGCTCTAAAATTAAAACCAATACCAACTCTTCTTCTTCTATAGTTATAGTAATTTTAAATCTATGTATTATTATCCAACACACGTGAATTATGCAAATCATGCACAATGCCAAAGGAATTTTTTGGGTGAAAAAACTGCGGGGAGCACTTACTCTTGAAACTATCCCTGGCTCTAAAAAAGATTTTGGTTAGAGTCAAACATAAAATGTTAATAAATTTCTTTGAATGATAAAAAAAGAAAATTGAAAAACTGGTTCACTTGTTTCATTTCTCTAAAGATGTATTTCTTCATATCATACCTCTTGAAAATATCCTCTGAAGATAAAGTGTAAGTCAAATTTAAAATCTCTGCAATTTTAATGTTTTAATATTTTAAATAGCAATAAAGATGGCTTTTAAAATGCTGATTTCAAACATTATGCTAGTATTTTTTAACTGAATAAAGACAGAAATGACTAAAGTATGTAGGAAGTTAGTTAGCAATGGCAGCTAATTTAAATATCATACAACTCTTTCAGTTAAACTGCAGAAATAAGGGTCACCTCAAATACTTGTAATCAATGGGGACCAGAGAATAACATACATCATACTATCTGGGAATGTATGTATGGATCCAAAAAGCAAACTGTCAACTGTAGGAACTTTCAAGATTTAAGAACATGTATTCAGATCTATGCTTTATTTTTTAAATCCAAAAAATTCAGACACAGAAAGTCCTGAAAATGATGACATCTATTTTTGGAATAAAGACAAACTCATTTCTGATCTGGCTATTATTATTCTTAACAAGCAATTCCAACATTGTAATAACAAAAATAGTTAACTGTAGTAAAATACAATCAGTGCTCATGTGAAACTCTCACATGATGGAATAAAAGCTGCCTCAAATCAGTCTTTACACTTCCTTGAACATTTCCTTTAGAAGTATCCATTAATGGCAATAAACATTGCATTTATCACATTGTAATCATGTTTACACAAACATAAATCTGCATTCATACATATTGATTATATTTTCTCTATCATAGTCATGATGCTAACCACCAAAACTGTATGTCTATTAGGAGATTTGCTCTCATACCACCATCACAGTACCTCACTATTTAAAGTACCATGTTGTAGACATTACTGTTTAAGGGTTAAAATAAGCAACTTGTAAGACAGGCATCTAAGGCAAATGCTTTTAATCCACTTACTAATGATCAATGTCGAAAGATACTTGGAGACAACTAAAGTAAAACCATAAAAATTCAGTTTCCAGAATTCTGACGCATGCATGACATATTGAATGATGGCTGGAATTCCAGAGCATCAGGCCAGGTAAGATTTGTACTACCCTGAGAACACAAATGTCTTAGCTGTGCGGAAACAGAAATTTTTCATTGGCCCTTACTGGAAATATTTATCTCATATCCAGTACATTCATGAACTAACACTGGATTCATAATAGCCTGAAAGAACCGCATCTTTAACTTCTAAAATAAGTACCCATAAATGGCAAGTGCAAACTGAAAAAGGGAAGATGAGAGTGCAAAAAAGAAGTACTTTCAGGAAGTTGGCCTTGGACACATCCTTCCTTTTTTTTAGGTTACCAGGGCTGAAGAAAGTGACTTTGAGAATCAGGCCTTCTTTGAACGCCTTACATATGAGTGGCCTGAATGTTCAAGAAAAAGAGGAGGTTTAGAAATGACAGACCCTTCGGTCCCATAACCCTAACATCTAACACCTGTAGCTCAGAATCTCTTGGCATCTCTGCACCCATCGCCTCCATTGGCTGGGTCATCAAAAAACCAAAGTATTTCTTGGATTCCTGATCCCTCCCCAGTTTTCACACATACATTCACTTCTCTTCCCTCTTCTCCCTAGCCTACTCCACACACACACACACACACACACACACACGCCGCGCGCGGATCACAGTGTATACACAATTGTCCTGATCTCATCAGTAGAGCGCATCAAAAGGGGCTTCCCCATCCTGCCGGCACCAAATTTCCACCCACGCCCACTCCTTTTCTCAGCCCCAATTCCCCCCTCCGCGCTCGCGGACCCGCCCCCACAAGACAGGCGACTCGGGGCGCGCGGGGAGGGCGGGCGGCGCCTCTGAATGCTTCTGTCCCCGCCGGCTCGCCGTCCCCTCGCCCCCGCCTCCGCCCGCCAGCCTTGCCCGCCCCTTCCCGCTCTTTACCTGCCAACAGGTTCCTAATTTCCTCAGGGAGGGGGTTGGGAAAGGCGGCGCAGCTGGGATTGGGCATGTCAGGGAGCGCGGGGCGTGCGGGGAAGGACCTGTGATCACAGGGGAACCGTCGGGCCGGGTCGGGGCTGCGACTAGACTCGGGCTAGCGGGCCCAGCAGGGACAGCGGGGCGGCAACTCCGAACGCTGCCCGGCCCGGGCTCGCAACGAGGAAGTCACTGAAGCCCCAGCCGGCAGCAGCTGGACTCTCGGCCCAGCCCCTCCCGCAGATTGGGGCGGGACGATGGGCGGGGAGCAGGGCTGAGGGGCCCGACTGCGCATGAGTATCCCTCGGTTTTCCCGAGCCTCCGAGAAGAACCTCTGGAAGGGCTACGCCCACTGCTACGTGGGGGGGCGGGAGGAGGAGCAGCTGTGGGAAGGGAGACGGCCGGGGCGGCATCACCTGATCCGGCGCCTGAAGCGAGGTGCCGCCATTTTGGATACTGGAGCCGAGACAACTGGAGACTCTTTCTCTAGGTTCCTGGAAAATAAGCTATTCGTGGTACCATCAGGTTTTCCGGTGAAAGGGCCTTCTGACCCATGGTCAGCCCTACCAAGGTTTAACACCTCACTTAGTAACCCAAAGGGAATTTTCGACCGCTCTAAACTATTATGGCCTTCTTTGTCCCTTTGAATGAAGGCAATCAGTCTTTTCTTCCGCCAGTCCCTCCTGCGCTGTCAATCTGGAGCTACTCCCGAGAGCGCTCTGATTGGCTCTTGCATTACTTTTCTACCGAATTTGATTTTGGGGGCAATTGATTTACCCCCACAACCCTCTTGATTTACAATTCTGTCACAACTTCAGACTCCACTTCTAGCCTCTTGAATTACAGAAATGCAAAGAAAGAAAGAAGAAATATACACTATCCTAAAACACCAGAAAGAAAACTGCTGGCTATGATTTATGGAATGGAATGACAAAATCTCTTCATGCCAACGTGATCACTCAGCCAACAAATACCTATTGTCTTCTATCTGTAAATCTTCTGACAGGTTTTCTCTAAAACCCAAAGACACCTAAATGCATCTTTAAAATTTTGTGTGTGGGCCTCCCTGGTGGCCTAGTGGTTAAGACTCAGCACTGTCACTGCTGCAGCCTGAGTTAGATCCCTAGCAAGGGAGCTAAGCCACACCTGCTGCTCCCCTTAACAGTGTATTTCAGTAATTCCACCAGTTCTCACCTTCCCCCCCCCCACTTTGGCTTACACCCTAGTTCTTCTACACAAAATAAAATTTTAAAAAGTGTGCGTATAGAATGTATGTATGTATGTCTCTATCTATCTATCCATCTATTCCTCAAAATAGAAACTAGGAAGAGAAAACTCTTTCCTAATTGCTACTATTGTATTTCAAATAGTGTATTGTGACTCCAAAGGCAATGTAAATTGTTTATTTCCTCTACCCTTCAACCCCCACTAAATCAATGGTCCTTAAAATTCAGTTTGCTTTAAAACCACAGAGAGAACTGATTATAATGCCTATTCTCAAGCCATTCCCAGAGATTCTGATTCAGTCTGTCAAGCCACCTAAGTGGTTTTTATGCGAGACATCATGATACCTGATTTTGAGAATCACTTTACTATTTCCAGCTCCTATAGGGCTGGAAATTTGTCATAACTTATCTTTTGTCCCTACCTGCAACCCTAAACCTGACATATGATAAAAAAAAAAAAAAAGCACCTCAGCAATGGTAAAAAATTAAGCAGACAAATGCAAATTTGCATTACATTTTTGTATAATTCTCTAAGAAATACACCAAACACTAATTTTTTAAAAAATAGGACTTTTTGGGCCTCCCCGGTGGCGCAGTGGTTGAGCGCTGGGTTGCGAAGCTGCCTGCAGCCTCTGCAGCGCCGGTTCAATCCCCGGCTGCTCCCCGGCCACCGGAGGAGGATCCCACATGGCGCGACAGACCTCTCCTGCCGCCCGCTGCTCCCTCAGCAGTGTACTTCGGTCCTTCTGCCTGCTCTGCTCCCCGCTCTGGCTCTGGTGAATTCTTTCACCCTCCCATGCTTCTGACGGTACCCAGTGCTTGTATAAATAAATAAATAAATCTGTAAAAAAAAAAAATATAGGACTTTCTGAAAGAGTCCATGTCTGTCTTCTCAAAACAAAACCAAAAGACAAAAATTTTATACTTTACAATTGAAGTAAAACATGCAAAATAAAAACAGAAAAGATGCCTTCAAAAGAAACCCATTCCCTAATGAAATCTAAAATTCCCACTCAGGTTTAGAAGTGTGATGAATCATAGAAATAGTGCTGAAAATTAGAATTCCTTTTGGTAGAAATAAAACTAAATAAAAGTCGCTTTGCAACATGGGTTCTCCAACTTCAAAGAATTGGAACTTATTATTCTTAAACTACAATATTATCTTCTGAAAGAAGGTAGACTCTATTTCATGGACATTTTATATTAGTAAGGATTCATCCTCCCTTTACAGTTATCACAATATAATTCTTTGTCTTGTCACATGTTTTATTAAACCAGACCTCCAAATGTTCCTATCCTTCGTTTCCTTCTGATAGAACTGACCAGACTTTTTATTCTGTGTCTCATTTATTTATTTATACTCTACTCATTCCACAAAGAAATTGAGGTGATTTACTCTTGTATCAAATAGACAGCTTTCTAGAGTGGATCAAATGGACAGTGTCTGCACTGCTCATTATGACAAGTCATTCTTGTTAGTGAGAGACAGGAAACTATTAAGATTGTCTTAAAATATATAGCATCTAGTAGTCCAAATAAAAAAGGCAATAACAGAAAATGGACTTTTTGTATGAAACACATTTCACCTCTTTAGGAAACAATTCTCAGACACAGGTTCTTGATGGATTCACTTGCACAATGCTTTGTATACTCTATCATTTTTACTGTTTATTGTTAAAGTTACTGAAATTGATTATAAGACAGAAAAAGAAATAAATAGAGGTTAAAAGAAATATATATTTTATTTCTCTTGTTTCCAAATGTTCCCAAAAAGAAAAAACTAGGAAGGAAATTAAATCCTACATTACATTTTTTAAACTAGTCACATTAAGTTAAAAAGAATAACAAATGAAACTTTAAATCTCAACTGGAGAGAGGTAACAGCTCCCCACCATTCTGTGAAAAAAAGAGACCTGATTCTGGGAAAATCTCATGATTTGCCTTCTCAGAAGTAAATCCTTTAATTCAAAGAATATATATATGCTAACTCCTTTACTTATGCCTTTCAAATTTAGCTTAGTTGAATAAGTGGCCTGGGTTTAAAAGACTGAACTAGCATTGAGGATTGATAACTTTGCAGACAGTTTTCTCTGCTCCTATTCTTTTTGTTTGATTCTCAAAGGCAGACAGAAGAAAGATTATATTTATACTTCAGCATTGTATTAGTTATCTGTTGCTGCATAACAAATTAAGCAGCTTAAAACAAACACTTAGTACAGGCATAGCAAGTTCTGTTGTACTCCACAGATCTTGTTTTTTACAAATTGAGAGTCTGTGGTAATCTTGCATTGAGCAAGCCTATCATCATCATTTTTCTAACAGCCTGTGCTCACTTGATGTCTTTGTGTCACATTATCATAATTCTCTCAATATTTCAAACTTTTTCATTATTATTATTATTATTATTATTATTATAACTGTGGTAGTGATCTACGGTTATTCATCTTTGATGTTATTATTGAACTGTTTTGGGGCACCACAGAACCATAACCATATGAGATAACAAACTTCATCCATAAGTTGTAGGTATTCTGATTGCTCCATCAATCCATGTTTTTTTTTTTTTTTTTTTTTTTAATAGAGGCATGCTTTATTTATTTATTTTATTTGTTTGTTTGTTTTGTTTATACATGCACTGGGTACAGTCAGAAGCGCGGGAGGGTGAGAGAATTCACCAGAGCCAGAGTGGGGAGCAGAGCAGGCAGAAGGACCGAGGTACACTGCTGAGGGGAGCAGCGGGCGGCAGGAGAGGTCTGCGCGCCATGTGGGACCCTCCTCCGGTGGCCAGGAAGCAGCCGGGGATCGAACCGGCGCCACAGAGGCCGCGGGCAGCTTCGCAACCCAGCGCTCAACCGCTGCGCCACCGGGGAGGCCCTCCATCAATCCATGTTGTGTGTGCTCTGATTTCTCCATCCATCTGCCTTCCTCAGCTTTCTCCTTCTCCTGGGGACTTCCTGTTCCCTGAGACACAAAAATAATGAAATTAGACACCACTGATAACTTCACAGTGGCCTCTCAGTGTTCAAGTGATAGGGAGAACTGCATGTCTCTCACTGTAAATTAAAAACTATTAATGATTAAGCTAAAGGAAGGCATGTGGCAAGCAAAGGTAGGCCAAAAGCTAAGCCTCTTAGTTCAAACTGTTAGCCAGCTGTGAATGCAAAGAAAAAGTTCTTGAAGGAAATGAAAAGTGTTACTCCAATGAACACATGAATGATAAGGAAAAGAAATAGCCTGTTGCTGATATGTAGAACATTTTTAATGATCTAGATAGAAGAGCAAACCAGTCACTACATTCCCTAAAGCCCAAGCCTAATCCTGGGCAAAAACCTAACTCTCTTCAATTTTTTAAAAGTTGAAAGGCTTGTGAAGGCTACAAAAGAAAGTAGGAAATTGGCAGAGGTTTGCTCATGAGGTTTAAGGCAATAAATTATCTCCATAACATAAAAGTTCAAGGTGAAGCAGCCAGTGCAGACGTAGAAGCCACAGAGAGTTATCCAGATCTAGCTGAGATCACTGATGAAGGTGACTACAGTAAACTACACCAAGATTTTCAATGTAGACAAACTAGCCTACTGTTGGAAGAAAATCCCACCGAGGACCTTCACAGAAAGAGAGAAATAAATGTCTTGCTTCAAAATTTCAGACACACTGACTCCCTTGTTAGCAGCTAATGCAGCTGGTTCAAGCTGCATTTACGTTCAAGCCAATGCTCATTTATAATTCCAAAATCCTAGGCTCCTTAAGAGTGATGCTAAATCTACCTTTGCTCTATATATGGAACAACATAGCCTGCATGATAGCAATCTGTTTAACATGGTTTACTGAATATTTTAAGCCCACTCTTAAGACCTACTGTTCAGGGGGAAAAAATTCCTTTCATTTATTACTGCTCAGTCAAAATGTACCTGGCTACCCAAGAGGTCTGGTGGGATGTACAAAGAAATGGATATTGTTTTCTTGCCTGCTAACACAAGA